AGTCTTCTGCTGTTGTAGCCCATCCGCCTCAAGGTTGTGCGTGTTGTGGCTTCACAAATGCTTTGCTGCATACCTCGGTTGTAACGAGTGGTTATTTCAGTCACTGTTGCCCTTCTATCAGCTCGAACCAGTCTGGCCATTCTCCTCTGACCTCTGGCATCAACAAGGCATTTCCGCCCACAGAACTGCCGCTCACTGGATGTTTTTTCTTTTTCGGACCATTCTCTGTAAACCCTAGAGATGGTTGTGCGTGAAAATCCCAGTAGATTAGCAGTTTCTGAAATACTCAGACCAGCCCTTCTGGCACCAACAATCATGCCACGTTCAAAGTCACTCAAATCAACTTTCTTCCCCATACTGATGCTCGGTTTGAACTGCAGGAGATTGTCTTGACCATGTCAACATGCCTAAATGCACTGAGTTGCCGCCATGTGATTGGCTGCTTAGAAATTAAGTGTTAACGAGCAGTTGGACAGGTGTACCTAATAAAGTGGCCGGTGAGTGTATATATATATATATATATTGTGCATTCATCCGAGATTTTCTTTCATTTACACCTGGAAAAATAAACTTTTTAATATTGTGAGAAATTGAAAACCAAATTATGATGTTAAAGAAATATTTAAAGGGTTAGTTCACCCAAAAATGAAAATTCTGTCATCATTTACTTACCCTCATGTCGTTCCAAACTCGTTCGACTTTTGTTTTGTTTTACTTTTGAGCTTTCTGTCCCTCCATAAACAGCTACACAACTACCACTTAGATGCTTCAAAAAGTTCATAAAGAGATTGTCAAACTAATCCAAATGAATTGAGCGTGAGCGGTTTAGTCCAAATTCTCTAAAGAAACTCAATCGCTTTATATGATGAACAGATTTACTTTAGACTTTTATTCACATATAAACATTGATCAGCAAGCATAAACAGAAGCTCAACCGAACCTGCTTGACGCGTGAGAATGAACCACTTCAGTTCTTGCCGAAGCGCAAACGTGCTGCGCAACACAAGATAATGACCCTCATTGGTTCTTGCAGAAGCTCAATCGTGCTGCGTAACACACGAGAATGAACCTTGGTTCTCACATGTCAAGCGAACATGCTTGAGCTTCTGTTTACCACAACTGATGTGTGCGTTGATAAATGTTTATATGTAAATAAAAGCCTAAATTGTTCTGTTGATCATATAAAGTGATCTTGTCTCTTCAGAAAATATGGACTAAACCGCTCAATTCAAATGGATTAGTTTTAGGATCTCTTAATTAAAGCTGCAGTCCGTAGCTTTTTTGGGGTTAAAAATTATCCAAAATACACATTCGAGAAAATACATAACCAGCCAGTGTTCAAAACTATGAGCTTGCCTTAGGTCGATTCAAAACGGTAAGCTTGTAATAATGTTTTTAATTCCAGTGGTACTGGTGGATTTCCACGGGAGATTCGAGCATGTCTTTGCGTCATTACGTCACATCTGTACACGTAAAGGAGGTTCTCGGCTAGTAGGCTATATTGCGTGTGAGGATGTTGGAGGTGGAGATTTATAGCCTTTTCTCACAGCACTTGATATAATTAAACTTATCAATTTGATGGCGGATCCAGAAAGGTTCAAACGACAATCACCAGTGACAACAGATTCACCCGCTGTAAAATGCAAAAGACTTCGTTCGGACTTCGGAGTGGCTACAGAAAAAAGGAGACTGCAACCGGACCCATGCGAAAACAAGGACACATATCGGAAGGACATTACATGTAGTCACGCAATGCTTGCTTACGTTGTTAACATTAACAATTTGAGAACAAAGTATAATTTGCACGGTTTTGCGTGATATGATAACTTATAAGCGATTGTTAGATTTAATCAGCGCGATTTACTGCAATGTCAGAACCAGAACAAAGGTGGATGTTTCTTACTTGTTCAGATGACATTTTCCGATGAAAATTCTTATGTTGGTCATACTTCCAAAAAGAATAATCTGTGATTCTGAATGCCAGTATCCACATCGGCGCAGTGACTGACAGCTGCTCACTCTCCTCAAACATTGTGTTCATCCGCGCTGTGCCGTGTCGAAGTACAACTCACGTAGAGTTAATAATTCCGCGAATGACTGCAATTGAAGATTTCGAACAGAGATGGCGGCAAAGAGGAAAAAACGCCAGACTGCAGCTTTAACTTTAAGCGTCAAAGTGGTAGTTGCGTAGCTGCCAATGGAGGAGGGACAGAAATTGCTCGAAAGTCTTACAGGTTTGGAACAACATGAGGGTGAGTAATTAATGACAGAATTTCTATTTTTGGGTGAACTATCCCTTTAAGATTGTGTACTAAGTACCAAATCTAATTTGTGACTCCAAGCATGTGAACTCGCAATCCAATTATATTGTAATGTATGATAACATATGCATCGCAATTGTGTATTTTATTGTGAGATAGTCCTAATGCTAAACAGAAATTCTGGTCTTTCACACAATCTGTGGTTTTATCTAATTTGTAATGAAAAAAAAAAAAAGTATTGTATTTTGTAAAAAGACAAAATTGGTACTATAAATTGACCACTCACAGAAATATATATATCAATCGTCAACTAAAATAGACTAATTCAGTTATGATGTAAAGAATTACTTTCTTGTTTAAGATCATAATTAGCATGAATAGGCAAAAAGTCCCTGAGCAAAGCCCCCTGAGGTTTGTTTAACAAATTTAAACATTGCTTAAACATTATTTACAAAAAGCAGAAGTCAATATGCCCCAGTAACGACATTAAAACTTTTATCACAAATATTTTTAGAAGCCCTAGTGTGACATTATTGTCCTCCCGTCCCAACCCGCTCAAAAATAAAGTATAAGCAGCAGAATCTCGGAAAGCATGTTTGTGTATTTGGCACTAGCGGTTCAGAGGCTGTTGCGGTGGGAGTGGTTTGTTCCTGAGGGAAATCAGCAGCAGCACACACAAGTCTGAAGATTATTATTAGCGTGTAGCTTTAAAGCAGTGAGCTGTCTAATAAAAAAAAAAACAGTGGAGTGAGTCACTGAGGTACAGCGTCAAGGCTGGTGTAGCAGACACAGTGGAGTGTTAGAACTTAAATAGTCTGCCACTGGGAGTTTTGAGAGTGTGTAGATGAAAACAACCACATTAAACAGAGGACTGACTCACATTGTTATACAAACCCACAACTTATACATGAACCAAAAATATATGCTGCTTTATTTGCATTTGCCTCCTAGACAAGCATGACAAACAAGCATTCCAAAAGAAAGTTTTTATGTCATCTATCCCTGCAGACAATAAACAGCAGGATGTCGGACAAAGTCTGACTCCTGCTGTTTCCAAACACTTACACACTTTTTGTTGAGTGCAACCTGCTACAGCCAATCAGATACAGCCTTCAAACTGAACATGTAATCTAATTCAAGACACAAACCCTTACAGAGCAACAATTAAGTCACACAGAGAAAGCTGCAGCAATATTTCTCTAATCTCAAAGATTCAACATTAAAGAGGTCATTCTTGCCTGGGGTCTACTTTAAATGTTTTTGGGGGGTTTTTTGTGCACCAAAAAAAGTAAATAATTATGCTTTCTCTTATTTTAATTGAGCAACTGCCTTAGTTTATGTTCACAGGCTTCAAGTTTGATCTCAGTTCTAATACACATTTGCTCAATGAATTCATGTATTTAGTTTTCAAACGAAACTGAGCCATTTTTGCAGCTTAGCTTTATTAACTGTCAATTTGGACTGAGATCATACTGTATTCAGACTGTATTGAGTTCTGAAAGTATCAGGTTTGACGTCAGTTATCATAAAACATGCATTGAACCGTCATTTGTTGACACTGGTGTCAAAATTGCTAAAACATATAATGTTGCCATATTTGAGAATTACAGCGACAGAAAAAAATTCAGTGAATAATAACTTAAATTTGTAGTCCTCACACAGTCATATGGCTTTAGAAAACCTGGAATAAAGTTTATAAATGTATGATAAACTAATTTGTTAACCCTTTTTGGTCATTTTGGAGCTTAACAGCATTTGACCTTATTCACTTTTATTATTTGAAAAACAACAGCTAGAATATTCTTCAGAATGCAGACTGTATTTTATTTAGTTAAAATATAGAATATATTTTGTCATGTGTTTTTTTTTTTTTTTTTTACACTAAATTAACTTGGGTCTTTAGAGGGGGGGGGGGGGGGGGGGACTATTTCATCTGATATGCCCGAATCTATTGAACAGAAGCACATATTACATGTAATCAACTGACCTAAAAATGACCTAATTCAGCAGCAGTAATTAACAGTTCAGTGCAGCAACTTTCCACTCTTACACAGCCACAATAGACAAGATGCTATCAGAGACGATGAGTGAATGAGACGTTCCCCCTTTATGAACAGGGGGTAGTGACCCGCGGAAGGAAGCGCCCACACTCCATCTTCCTTCAAGAGAAAAGAAAAATGGAGTGTGAAATTGGAGGGGAGTGTCTGGGTCCACCCGAGGGAATAAATATATGTGTTTGAGCGTGTGCGTTTATGTGTTGGACTCCAGGACCAAAAAAGCAAGAAGCGATGGGTGTCAGGCAATGCCAACACTAACTTCAAACGGTGCTGAGAGGATACAAGTGGGGACTTTTTAAAAAAAAACACATGCCATGCTCTTCAGATGAAGGGCGAATCTAAAGTAGGTTAGTATGTCTTAGATGTTGTAGATCAATAGCCGTTTGTGTATCACCCAGAAACCCTGTATTCCTCAAAATGCCATTTTCAGCTACTAGGATACTCATTATAACATGACAGAAGGCTCATGCAGCACTGAATATAACACGTTTGCTTTAGCGCTTTCACATCTCACCTTTGTAATTTGATAAGACTTTTGAAAAGCAGGCTATATTTATCACCGCTTCTGGAGTGACGATTTTTGAAGACTATTTGTGGTTATGCATTACACATCCTACAAAGGCTTACAGAAACATAATGGCTTTAACAAAGGAATTGGATGGAAAACAAGGTTGTTACTCACTAATAGAGCACTTCGTTGGCTTCGTGTCTTTCGTAGCGTACAGTTTCACACATTATCCTAAAAAAAAAAAAAAAGACAAAAGGGAATGAGAGAGAGAGAAACATATAATCAGTGACATATCCAAACTTAACAGCTCCAAAAGAAACAAAAGTACCCTCATATTTTTGTCTGTGATTATGAAAAATCCCTCAGTTTCATGTTGTGAAACCAAAATCAAAAAGGATTTCAGAACCAAAACCCTTGTGGGTTTTCAGGACTGGTTGGCATTGTGTTTGAAAAGAAAAACAAACAGGCTGCCTTGTGTTAAGAACAGCGCAAGGACACAACCAAACTCTGTTGTGTTTGTGGATGACATATTTCGATGTTGGTTTATGCTAGAAGTGCTGTTTAAGCAAACTCGGATGTATCGCCACAGAGCAAAACATTCCAGAGGACAAAAACATTTTTCAAAAGACATTCCATAAAGTTCAGCTCAGTTGGAGAGTAGAAAGTCAACCAAGTCCATCTGACCCATTCCCGAAGATATGTACGGACCCATGAAGGGGTGTTGGTGGGGTCAGGTAGGGTTAGGAATGTTCTAGAACTGCATGGTCACGTAGCAAAGTATTTTACCCCAAAATATGTACGTCCACTTGTGCATACATGAGAACTTGAGAAGCTAAACCGATTTAAGAGTTCAGACAACAATACAACAATACTGACTAGCAGCAGTTGCTGACATAACTATAAGTTAGCTAAATCAAATATAGTCCAAAACTGTTATTGAAAAGCAAATATACTTACATAGTAATTAAAGAGATTAAGAGAACACTTCAAACTTAGTTTGGTTTGTAATTTTTTTTAATTGTTTATATATATATATATATATATATATATTATATGTGTAATATATATATATATATATATATATATATATATATATATATATATATACACATACATATATTTATATACACACACATACATATAATCTCACAGCACATCTGTCTATCATTTAGACATTTATAACCCACCATCCACCACCTGCTTGACCTGAAAAAAACATGTGCATTTTTCCCCCAACCATTTATCAAATCCTTCCTTCAGTTTTACCTCAGTTGGTGCTCCCGAAGATTGGACAGCGCCTCCATTCCATGCAAGTAGGAATAAACAATCTCCAGGTCCTGCAGGTAAAACGAGAGAGAAAGAGAAAAGATCAAAGATTAAAGTCTATTCATCTGTAAAAGCACACACTGTCCCAGAATTCTCAGCACAGGAAGAGAATATTTATTTCAATAGGAAAAGTGTGGTAGAGAAAATAGCCTTGAAACAAATGGAAAAATGCAGCTACACAGCATGACATTTCTCTACAAAAATATAGATTAGTCACAGTGATTGTAAAAATAAATTACATTAAGCCAATCTCAATCTCAAATGCACAAACATCTCAAATTGACTGTGGTTTACACTCATTTGTGATTAGAGTAATCTCATCATTTTAACACTTCCTCATGTGTTCGTTTCTAAGGCTCATTCTGTTTTTGATATCAACTAAAATCTCATTTATAGGTGTACAGAGCAAACACTTCTAAACAAATAGTCTCTGGTCCCTAAACAGGTCCTTTCACTAGAGAGTCTTGCTCTATCTACAAGTGGCTCTTCAGACAAACCGGTCACAGTGTCCATGTAGCTGAGCACACAGCGCGTCCTGTCCCCTTCCACATGCAAAAGAGCACTGACGCCAGAACTGGGCCGCCTTTGTGCTCACAAAGGCATGCTGGGATAGCGAAGAGGACAAAAGAGGTTCTGTGCTCGCACACAGACTCACTTGATTATGAACTGAGAGACCTTGTGTGACATAGAACATAAATGCAAACACACAGCTCGCCAAACATTTGCCTTCTGATATAGCACAAGTAAACCTCCGCCCCCTTGTTTTCCTATTAAGACTTATGTGATTGCTAGATAAATACGAAAGAATAAGAGAAAACTGTACTGGTCAGGTGAGACTGTGGGCCAGAAAAGGATAGCTCATTTTTTTGGTCATTGGTTTGTAAATATGGCGAGATACAGGGTATTAGGGTATAGTGAGGGTTCAGACGAGATGAAAACGAGTTGACCCTAAGGATAAACCACAAGGCATCTTAAAGGGATAACAATACAGTTGCTGGTCCCCATTGACTTTTATAGTATTCTTTTTTTCATACTATGGAAGTCAATGAGTCCCATCAACTGTTTAATTACCCACATCCTTCAAAATGTCTTCTTTTGTCTGCAACAGAATAAAGCATCTCATACAGGTTTAGAACAACTTGAGGGTGAGTAAAAATAAAAAAAAAGACAGAATTTTCATTTTTTGGTGAACTATCCTTTTAAATGCCATCTTGCTGGCCCTATGTTTGTGGAAGGGCAGGCGACTGTAAATTTACTCTTATACAAAGGTTACAGACGGCAAGGTCACATGGACAAACTGTACTGGAATATAATGGTAACCTCCATGTTTTGCAGTGTCAAAAGAGGCTGACGAAAAGAAAATTGATTAAGTGATTATTTGTCACCCCCTGCTGTTAATAGCAGTGCATTGCATGGTACTGGTAAAGGTTAGAGGAAATATTAACAGAAAAACGATAAAAAATAATAAACAAAATTAAATAAAACAAACAAATATCAAAAAAACAAAAGGACAGATTTTTTTTTTTAAATAAGTCAATTTTCCACAATTCACAATCGCATATTAAAGTATTATATGTAAAATGTAATTTAAGAAGGTAAAAAAACAAGCACTTCATGCTTGCTAGATTTGTTAAATATATATATTGATTTAGTCATTTTATTTAAATTTTAGTGCCTTTTTTTTACCTTCATTTTTTATGACGGTGTTATGGTTGCTAAGGTGCTTTGAGTGGATTCAAGCACACTGCTATAGGTCATCTGGGTGGGTGCTGGGGTGCACGGAGTCCGCTTGCTTAGAAAAATGGGCACACCTCACCTCACTTTAACAAGCCAAAAGATTGGAGGCATCGAAGCAGAAGCACAAACAGTGTGGGACGTTACACATTACATTTAATGCTTAGAGGTTTGTTCAAATCTATAAACCTAAATATGAGCAACAGGAATAGCGATGCTTGCTTTAGCAAGCAAAAAAAGAACAATAAGGCTGAGACAATGACAAAGGACCTTCTAGCTGGTGTGCACTACACAAATCCTCCACTAGATGTCATGCTGGTGTAAGATTTCACTGACTCATGTCCAGCTCTTTCTGCACCTCTTACTGCCACAACTGGCTGGAATGAAGCTCTACCAGAACACTGTGGCTTTCTTTCCCCCCCCTCAAATATTACTTCTAAATTCAACATGGAAAGAATGTGCAGAACCCCATTTTTTCAGTCCCAGTGTCCTCATGAGGAGTTTTCACTCCTTTATTATATCGCTCTGCCAGAAGTTCATAATGAGTCCACGACAACTTTGCTCCAAACACACACTGAGAATGAACGATGTTGAAACGATGAACCTTGACAAAGCAGATCTTTGGTATTTTTTGGTCACTTATATAAATTTAGCTGAAATTATCATTTAGATTAGTTTACTCAAAAACTGACAGAACCATACTGTAAGTTAAATGTATGGTAAGCAATTTCGGAGAGGCTAGCAATAGCAAGCTAGCTTTGAAAGCATGAGATCCCACCCTCCCTTCAGAGCTCTCCAAAGCCACGCCTCCTTCAAAACACATGAACACACACAGCAGAGTCTGCAAAGCATCCCGAGAGACGGAGTTAAATAACCTCATGTCTTAAATCACATATAAAATTACAATAATAATGAACGCAAACGACTGTTGCAACTGATTTCTGAATGAAAAGTATTTTACTGTCTTTATTGTGAAGGGGATAGTTCAAAATTTTTTTAATTAAAAAGCACAGAAAAGGCAAGCTAAAATCAAAATCAAAATGGTAAAAATAAAACGCTAATTTAAAATATTTAGAAACACTATAATAGTATTTAAATAATACTAATATAACATTGGTATTTTATGAGTTTTACATTCAACAAAATGGGAGTTGGTAGCATTATAAAAAACAATAAAAAGTCAAATGTAAGTGCTTGTGGTTATTTTTCAGTTGTATCATATTTTAACAATCATGAATTATATTAGTTGGCATGAAATTTTGGCATGAAGAAAAAGCATACATTTTACGATTGCCATAACCAAACCGTCTTGATTCTGGCCTGAATCATTCACACATCATGGGCAGTGTTTACAGACAAAAGCAAAAGGGTGAATCTGAAGAAATTACTCCTACAATAACCACCACTTATTTTATAAAAAAAAAAAAATCATTTTACAAAAGGCTGAGCCTCTGGCACTGTTTTCCAACAGATGCTAGGTTTACAGTAAAACACCACTAGGTTTGCACACTCACTTTGTACTCTCTTTCTGCATTGTGACTGCTTTCTCCCAGAGTGCTTCGTGACAAAGGGACCATTGTGTTTTGTGATTGGTCATACACAATATGTGAAGCCCAGGGCACTCAGCCTTCGCTGGTTACACAACTCTCCTGGGAGTCAGTGGGTAACAAGCTGAGTGACAAACACCGCTGAGACCAGGTAGAGTAGTAATGATGAAACTGGCGAGTTATAGGCAAACAACAGTTGTTTAACAGCAGCCTTGACTAAAGCCTTAGTGAAACTCAATGAACAAAGCCATGAGACTCTACCTGTACAGTCTATTTAAAAAGTGTTCTGCACACTCCACAAAAGAAGCTCAGCTATGATACTGCAAGCAAATTTGAGATGTACAACAAAAGAGACTACAAAAGAAAGATCATGGCCTTCTTCACAGCAGCAGAATACAGTTGTCAGTCCTGTATTTGAGTCCTTAATACAGTTACGTTCACACAGTTCAGTTATTTACTGGAGTGACAACCGCATTCTGTAACCAAACACACCAGTACATTTTCAGGACTCACAACCACATTCTCTGAAAACCCAAGCTGTGTGAGCGTAACCAGACTGGTCAAAGTTGTCTGTTACGACAAACAGTGCGAGAGAGCCGCTCCGTGTGTTGCGTGTGGTTTTGCTTTAGGTAATTTAGTGACGGAGATATGAGCTGCACGTAATCTTAAGGTTTTAGATCCAGTCACTTTTCACTTTTCTGATTGGTTGTTTTGGGTCATTTTTACTTTTAGTGTGGAGAAATAATTTCAATGCTTTTTTGCACTGAAAACATGTTAAGACGTGGTGGTCAAGAAATAGTTCAGCTAAAAATATATATATATATATATATATATATATATATATATATATATATATATATAAATACATAAATACATCTAAAGGATTATTAGGAACACCTGTTCAATTTCTCATTAATGCAATGATCTAATCAACCAATCACATGGCAGTTGCTTCAATGCATTTAGGGGTGTGGTCCTGGTCAAGACAATCTCCTGAACTCCAAACTGAATGTCAGAATGGGAAAGAAAGGTGATTTAAGCAATTTTGAGCGTGGCATGGTTGTTGGTGCCAGACGGGCCGGTCTGAGTATTTCACAATCTGCTCAGTTACTGGGATTTTCACGGACAAACATTTCTAGGGTTTACAAAGAATGGTGTGAAAAGGGAAAAACATCCAGTATGCGGCAGTCCTGTGGGCGAAAATGCCTTGTTGATGCTAGAGGTCAGAGGAGAATGGCCCGACTGATTCAAGCTGATAGAAGAGCAACTTTGACTGAAATAACCACTCGTTACAACCGAGGTATGCAGCAAAGCATTTGTGAAGCCACAACACGCACAACCTTGAGGCGGATGGGCTACAACAGCAGAAGACCCCACCGGGTGCCACTCATCTCCACTACAAATAGGAAAAAGAGGCTACAATTTGCAAGAGCTCACCAAAATTGGACAGTTGAAGACTGGAAAAATGTTGCCTGGTCTGATGAGTCTCGATTTCTGTTGAGACATTCAGATGGTAGAGTCAGAATTTGGCGTAAACAGAATGAGAACATGGATCCATCATGCCTTGTTACCACTGTGCAGGCTGGTGGTGGTGGTGTAATGGTGTGGGGGATGTTTTCTAGGTACACTTTAGGCCCCTTAGTGCCGATTGGGCATCGTTTAAATGCCACGGCCTACCTGAGCATTGTTTCTGACCATGTCCATCCCTTTATGGCCACCATGTACCCATC